CTTGCTGATTTGTTTGCTGGAATTAATCCCTTGCTTACCGGGTTTTGGGCTGTTGAGAGGATGTGTTCTGATCTTTTTGTTTCCTTCTTAGCTTTTTTATTGTCTCTTTTGAATGGTGTGTAAATATGGTTTATTTCTATGTGTCTGTTGATGATTGATTTGTCTGAATGCTAAGCTTTCAGGAATTCTATAGTATTTTGGATTAATCTTGGCCTAGGATGCTCAGAGTCTCCCAGTTGAAACTGTGGTTGAGTCTGTCTGTGTGTTGTGAGATTAAGGAGTTTCCATCATGTCTTCTGATTGCTAGTTGGTGTTCATGGATGTGCTCTGCTTGTCTTCTGCCTGTCTGTCCTACATAGTGGCTGTTACAGCATGTTGTAGATGACTCCTGTTTTTTCTTCTTGAGTACTGGGTCTTTTGGTTTACTTAAGATGTTTTAGAGAGCTTTAGTTGGTTTGTGTGCTACAGTAATGCCGTGTGGTTGTGATAGTGTGTTGGTTGTTTCCAAGATGTTTTTGATGTAATTTTTCATAGCTTGTGTTGGCTGTGCCCACATTCAAGTGGGTTGAATAATCAGGCACTTTTTGATAAAGTTACGTGGGTATCCATTTTGTTGGAAGATGTTGTATAGGCAGTCTGTTTCCTTTTTCTGGTGTTCTGGGTTGCTGCAGTGTGTTTGTACTTGTCCTTTTAGTAGAAATAATTTTTCATAGCTTGTGTTGGCTGTGCCCACATTCAAGTGGGTTGAATAATCAGGCACTTTTTGATAAAGTTACGTGGGTATCCATTTTGTTGGAAGATGTTGTATAGGCAGTCTGTTTCCTTTTTCTGGTGTTCTGGGTTGCTGCAGTGTGTTTGTACTTGTCCTTTTAGTAGAAAGATCTAGAACAAAATTCCAAATCTTTGAAGGTGTGGAAATTTGATTGCCATAGGGGGAGGATCATTTTAGGGTCATTTGCGAGATACATCACACCTCCCACTCTCTTATTTCCTCCCACAAATACTCAGATTGTGAATGTGCATATGGGTGTTTTAGTCACCTACACATATACCTTTAAATATTTGAGGGAGGAGTGGGGATGGTGGAATTCCAGAATTACAAAATGCTGGTTTGAAACAGGTCTTGTGTCCCACTTATGCTTCTCATTTTACCGTTTACTTTTAGACCAAAACCAAAACATTTCATCCAATATATGTTCAGAAAGGGCTGTTCTACCTGCAAACTGTCATTCTTTATAAATGGTTCCTGTATACCAATATGACATTGATTCTGAGGGGAGGAAGCAGATATATGATACAGTTACAATATAAGCTTTCTAGTAGATAATGCATAAATCATTGCTCCCCTATCCTGAAAACAGTGACTGCAAATAACAGGTTTCTTTATTGTAATACAGAAATGCCAATATTTAGATGAAGCAAGGGACATGGTGGTCTACATTTAAAAAAAACAACAAAACCTTTGCTCTGATCTATAAGTGCTCCTCTTAGGTTTTTTGGAACATATAAACAGTGAGGATTAGTTTACCAAATGTAAAATAGTGTTTTATATATTCCAATTTTGCCATCTAGTGTCTATTATGCAAAATGCTACAATAAGGCATGAGAATATACCGAGAATTTTAAATTCCTTTTCCAAAAAGGTACTTTAAAAATCTAATAGTTGTAGGCAGCACTTCTGATATTTATATAGGATATTTACTTCATTTCTACCCCCTGATCCTCCATTAATGTGCACCAGCTCTTGTTGCAGTGGCCCTACACCCTTTCTTCCACATCTCTACCACAACCACTAAGGAGGAGGAAAGGGTTTGGTTTCTTGATGAAAAAAGGGTTGCTCTCTTTTTTTCAGCGTGCAGGATCTACCATGACCAGATGGCTGCTCTGTGGGGCTGCATTTTGGGGAGAGAGGGTCTGTCAGCCGCTCAGTTCCATGGCAGTCTCACTGAAAAGAAAGAAGTTGATTCTCTGGTTGGAAGCAGCACCCAAACCGTGCTCTGTTTATGGGGAATACCAGAAATGTGGGGTGGAAGTACAGATGTGCAAGAGCAAGTGGCGGAGAAGGCATTGAAGGCCCAGCGGTGCTCCTGGCTAGTTGCCTTTCCTTAATTTGGTCTGTGAAGTCAAGTCAGTGGAGGCAGCAGCATCTCATCTGGCTGACCTTAGCTAATTTTGGAAAAAGCAGATTCAAGACATGTGTCCTTTATTGATTTTTTGAAATGTTTTTATACTGTAAAGATGAGAATATGGGACACTATATTTCTATATGATCCAGATTTAATAATATGTTAAAGGATTGCGTTTGTTTTATTATATTACATGGCGTTTGTTTTATTGTATTACATGGAGCATTTTTCTCTTCAGTTTTAGCTCACTTTAATCACTAGTAGGTCTATCTTTCCTGACTGGATAACCACTGCACGGCTATTATTGCATATTTTTGTTCTTACATTTCACCCAAAAATGAAATAGAAAATAAGACATAGGAAAAGCTAAGCAGGATCAGACCTGGATATTATCTGGAACGGAAATCAGGAACTCTGAGGCCCTAGGCTAAGCTGGGAATTTAAAAAGACACCGTGGCAGAAAGCAATGGCCAACCCACCTGCCTCTCTCTGCCACAAAGCTCAGAGTCGAGCTCACCGGAGGGGACACGTCCTTCCTTACGCTCGACTGGTGCTGTCATTTTGCCTGGAAACGAGCCTTCAGCTCGTTAGGAACGAGGCGGTCGCTGTTTTCTTACCCTCCACACCCTCGGCGGAAAAAAAAAAATCTTCTTTCTCCCCATCTGTAATTGTATATTCAGGTTTTGTTTTATTCACGTATCATTTCGTTTCACACGATGCTCCGGGAACTTCGCGGTTCTTTTCTGCGGTTGCAAACGCGAAATCGCAACGCAGCGAGGAGCGTTCGTTTGCACGGAGGTGAGATCAGGGATAGGGATCAGCAGAAGGAACTAACCAAACCGGTGTGAGATGTTAATTTGTCGCTCTTATTATTATTTTTTTACATTCGGTTTTCTATTGTTCCCTTGTTACTAGCTTTCCAAAGAACGGCCCAGAGAATCAATTGACTTAAGGTGCCATATATAAATTACGCTTGATTCTGGGTTTGTGATGATTGTAACATCCTACCGCTGTGCAAAATGCCATTCCGGAAAAGGACTTCACCTCCGCTTCCTAGGACAACAATAGCAGCCACTGCCAAATAATCATGCGCCAACATATTCCTACCGAATAACCAAGGGGTGCCAAGGCATACAAGCTGACGTCACTCTCCATTCTTCTGCAAACAATGACGGCATGCACCAACTTCTCCGGCCTCGCATTATATCGTTTTCCAAAGTAATGTCTTCTGTCTGATTGGTACAGGGGGAAAATATGCCCGTCGCGATTGGCTGAAGCTCTGGCTGATCCAGCCCTCTCCTCTCACCCAGTATTTTATGATTGAGTGACTGATTCAAGCTTAGGCAGACTTGCTCCGCCTCTCGCCTTCCGCCTTCCTATTTTGATTAGCCAAGTTCCCTGTCGCTCTCTCCGGCTTCTCAGGGTTCCCCTCCGCCCCCTTTTAGTTGACGCGCCTCTCAACTGGGGATTCCATTGGCCTTCAGCGCTACGCTCTGACTGTGCGGGCTACGATTCGCGTTTGGACTTCGCAAGCCACGCCCCCTCCCCTCCACTCGTTGTGTGATTAGTGGAGGCGGCCGTCAATGTCTCTACTTCCCCCGCCTCCTGCCACTCCGAATCAGGAAGTGTGGCCGCGGAGCGCTGGCGTTCTGTTCTGTATGGGTGTGCGAGCGGCTACCGAGTCCATGGTGAGAAAAAAAGCCGGTGGCTTTGGAACTGAGGGGCAGCGCGGGGTCCCCTTTCGGCTCTCCCATCCCGGGCAGGGTGAGGGGTGGGGCTGCCGGCAGCGAGCCTGCGGGATTTTTCCTCCCTTCCGAATCGGATGGCCTCAGGTGTTGTCGTGGGTTGAACCGGAGGCTCCCGAGGCGGGTCGAGACGTAAGACTGACCTTGCAGGACCAGTTCTAACAGTCCATCTGGTTCAGCATTCCGTTTTCAGAAGGGGCCGGCCGGGAAAGGTCCCAAGGAAGTAGGGGAAAAGATATTGGCCTTGCTCTTCGAGCCCCCAAGGATGCTGCTTGGAGGTTCTGTTTCACCGTCAAACTAATCGCTGCTCCTAGAGCCACTCTGTGTCAGCCCCAGAAGCTGAGCCAGTAGCTTGCCACGTTTGTTGAATTTCTAAGGAGTGTGGCAAAATCTCCATTGCGCCAGAGAATTGCAGCAGTTTATCCCAAAAGCATAGCAAACGCGCCAATGATACGGCAGGAGATCGTTTTCATGGAAACATAAAAGGCTACATCCGACTCCTTTGAATGAAAAATCTTCTAGAAGCAGCAACACCAATAGAATTATCCACTAATGATGCCCAATGTTAAGAACACCAAACAAAACGCCCTTTTGGCAAACTTGACACTTTCTGCCAGCTTGTTTCCTTGGTCGCTCACTTATAGTAGAGGAGGGTACTTAGTGGGGGACAAAGGCGGTTGTAAGTCTGTTTGTGAAAGTGAAACTGGTTCTGAGCTTCTCTGAAATTGTTGAACCTGCTAACGTGGGATTTCTCTCTGGGAATATAAGTGCTGTGCTTTCTGAACTTCTAAGATGGAATGGTGTCTGTCTAATACTGGACGCTGATGTCCTTGCAAATAGATCTTGGTTTGTGTACAGAGATAAAGAGATGTTCTGACTTGGTCACAGATGAATGGGAGTATGTTTCACTCTCTCAGGTATTGTTGCTTGAAAAATTACTGAAAAGAGATATGTTTCCTTTGATATGAAACACGTGGCATCTTCTATTTAAAATTAGACCCATTTGTACAAAATAATAAATGGTTAACATCCTGTTTCCAGCTGCTGGCTTGCAGAGGTGTCTGTCAAAGAGATTGTCCGATTCCTGAATTATGCTGGGGTGAATTCAGACCCTCTGTGTCTTCTCAATGATCTGTTCATTTATTTGAGATGAGACCCAGGTGGTAGCAGGTTTCATAAGCAATCCAGTAGCAGATTATTTTCTCACTCTGCTGTCAGTAACCTCATTGTGCCCGATTCCATAGAGTGTGGAGGAGATTCTTGCTGGAAAACATTGCCTTCCTAAGTTAATGCTTCAGATGGGCTGATGCTACTTAAACTGTATAAATGCTCTTCTCATATGTGTTTAGCCATGTGGTACAGTAATGCTTTCTTCTATACTGCAGTACTTGTGTCATCAGTATGATAATTGAACTTTAAACAGTATCACCTAGCACTGCAAAACTTGTTCTACCTTTGATGAAGATAGCAGTATATGCAACTTGAGAGCAAGACTATTTTTCCTTTTTTTAGAAGCCTCAAAGTTGCCAGCCATGGGGCAGGGATGATGTTATGGCATCATTTGGGTAAGATGTTCTCTAGGGTTGGCAGCGTGGCACCTTCATGTCTCCCGTGGAACGTCAACATTTTTATTACCATTAAACAAAAAATGGTTTATTTTACAAAGTTTCAGTGTTCTGGCATGAGATCTCACCTGAGGCAACAACACTGAATTTTTGAGAATTTTTGCTGATTTTATTTATTCTAATTTTTATGTGTGTGGGTTTGCCATATCTCTGGAAAAGGTGAGCAACGCCAGGACTATTTGCCTGGTGGAAATTGCTATCCATGATCAATCATGGAGGATTGAGGGAGTTGAAGACTGCTGAGCAGAACATCATTCCTTGAAGAAGACCTTGATTGTTCTGAAATGCAGCCATTTATTTCTAAATCCTCTACTCAGGTACAGTGTTGTCATCACTGTTTGAGATGGCAAAAGGAGTGTCTATGAGCTGGAAATCCAAGAAGTAGCTTTGCAAACCAGTTAACAAAGGTTATTGACAAATATTTTTACCAGTTGCCCGTGTTTAACGATGGTGGTGGCCTAATGTCCCGAAAAGGGAAAATAAATATTCAAGCACATTTTTTTTCTTCCTCCCCTCTTCTCCATTTCCAATTAATAAAAATTTTCCTACACCATAATTTGAATCCTTGACTCATCCTGAAGACTATTTACAAGCCTATGATAAATGATTTGAGAATGGGATGTTCAGAAGAGAAGCTTCTCAGCTTAACAGCAACTGAAATGGTAAATGTGCACAACAGGAAACCAAATGCTGTCCTGATTTAGCTGGTAATCTTGCTTCTTTTCTGAAACTTCAGTTGGATCCTCTACTTATTATTTTTTTTTTTCAGGAAGCTTAAAAACACATGAAGGAAAGTGTGTGCCATCTCAAGTGCTAGCCAATCAGTGCCATGCACAACCAGCTTTTTCTGAATAACTTTTTTTTTTTTGAATTAGGTACTAGAAAGCAGGGGTGTCCTAAGATGTTTGTTTATAAACTATTTATAAGAATATATGAATAGCCCTCCCAATTCAGGCCAGGACCCCATAGCTCTGGGATGCTCTCAGCTATGAGATGGAGACGTTAACCTCTTCCACCCCTTTCTCCTGAAACTGATGTTTGGAGGCAGGATGTCTCCAGTTGAGAGGTTACAATGAGTCTCAAGGCTAATAGCTCTTGACACACCTGTCTTTCATATATTTATTCAGTTCCCTCTTTAATGCCATCCAAGTTATTGGCCATCATGTTTTGTGATATGAATTCTACAGATTATGTACTGTGTGAGAAAGTGCTTTCTTTGCCTGTAAATCTCCTCCTAAACCAGCTTTGCTGAATGATCCCTGGTCCTAATCTTTTGAGATAAGGAGTTTTATAGCTCTCTAGGCTGGGTTCATATGCTGTACTAAGTCATAATGTAGTTTGCTTAGTTTTGACTTACGTTATGTTGACCCACCACTATGGTTTACAAGTAATAGTTTTTGTTTTTGTGTTATGTGAGAACCAAGTCAAGTGTGGCTTATTCAGCAACCCATGGTTTTTAAAAAAAGTCTTAGTGCAATGTGTAATTCTAGCCATTGTTTTAAATCTGATTTCAGTCTATATCAATAGCTGTCCCTCTTTTCAGATCTGAGATTAATATTCCTCAACCTGGAACATAGGACAGTTTTCCAAAAATGTCTGCTCTCTTGAGTAGAAAAACGAAAACGGGTGCTCCTTTTAATAGCTAGCAGGTTCATTTTTAGTTTTTCTCTATATGTCAAGTTAACACCTACCAAAATGTCTTCTTTTCTACAACAGTGTAAAGTAAAAGAGCTCTATCTTTCTTGGCATCTGCTTACTTTCACATTATTTCAGTTCTCTTTAGACCAAAATGGAACAGCCAAAAAATGTAGAAATCTCTTTAAATGGTTCTCTTTTTCTGAAGTATGAGAGCAGTCGATTTTTATGCTGTGTTCATTTGACACATTGGATCACAAACCAGCAAACTACACTGTAGTCCAACTTATTGTGTAAACCTAGCCAGTGGCTTTAGTAATATGACTTATGCAAATTCCTTAGATCGGGCTAATTGAGGACACCACTTCATAATAAACATCTTGTGTGAACACAGTCTTGCCAGTAGAGGGCCAAAAGAGGGAGAACATGTTTCCCCCCAAAAGAAAATCTGGACACATATACTGTACACATAAAAGTTGTCTCTGCTAATTTATATGCTTGGATGAAAATTTAGAACTAAATATACCTCCATCTGTAAAATTGTTTTTATAGAATAACGGATATTTAACATTTCATCTCTCTAAGATTACAAGATGTGTTTATATATACGCTCCCAAATAATGTGTTTGCTATTTGCTCCTGTACTGGCTTTGTTTTTTGTTTTTCGCTTTATTACACATTGTTTATATTTTCAGTGCTTTGTGGATGCCATGTTTGCTTTGTTTTTTTGTTTTTCTCGTTTATTGAGATAATGAGGATTGCATTTTTACTTAAATAATTATTAATGTGGCGGAAGCGGACCAGTAGGATGTCTTTGTGTCTAGCCCGTTCAGCCTCCTGTCCTGGTACTAATCATTAATGGCCAACTTCAAGGCCTTTGTTTTCTTTTAATGGTCCTTTATCTCTAAACTAGAATTCAAGCAAAAAGTTCTTCAGGCTGAGGACTGTCTTCTGTAAAAGAAGTTTACAGTTCAGTTGAATTTTATCAGTTATACCAGCGATAGAACAGAGATCTCTAAGGAGATGCAGTCTCTTCCAGGAACGCAGCTCCAGGAACTTGCATGTAGTGATTAGTGACCAGGGTATTTCCTGCAGTCTCTTTGAGGCACTCCTGCTTGGGCATGTGATTGAGATTATAGCTGGGAGGGCAGGCGCATCTCACAGATTGACTTTTGCAAAGAGCCAGGAAGCGGCTGTGTCCTTTCCCCCAATCTGGATTGGTACATTCCAACCTGAAGGGTTGCATGAGGCTCACTGTTTGTTATTAGGGTGGAGGGCATAGGGTACTTGAGAGGTGGTACTTGTAGCTCTGTTCCTAATTTGAGAAATGGGTTGGGCCTGGTGAGGAGGCACCACAGCACCTGCATCCTGTTTGCGACTCAGGGAATTTCCTCATGTTTGCCTTTTGCCTTTGCAGTTGTTGTTTGAGATGTAGAGATGGAGAACGAAGACCCTGGCTTACCTTGTAAAGGGGGGATGGACCTCCCTGAGCAGAAACGTGGGCTGGATCCTACAGACAGATGTGAGTACTTTGAGCTATCTGGTTTGGAGCTGCAGAGCAGGGGCAGAAAGTGTAGTGCCCAGAAACATCTCCTTTGATGTCCACCAGGCTCCCTGCTTGTCTGATTTAGGTTCATTTAGCTCAAAAAAAAAATTAAATAGGAAACTACGTGCTGGAGGCTACATCAGCCTCTCACAACATTTATTTGCAGTAATGCCTTTTGGGTCTCTCTGGTATAACAGAGAGCAACTTGTGTGAACTAGTTTACTTCTTGGGAAGTGAATAATTTGTGGCAAGTGTTTTGTGGGCAGGCAAGTTTTCCAGGACAACTATTTTGTGAGTATACCCACCACATACAGTTATACCCTCCCTGGCTCAAAAAGTTGCCTAACTTTGATACAGTGGATTTCTTCTATCCCAGACCTTCTGATTGGCTATAGTGGGCTTTTCATTCTGACACTAGATTCTTTTCACTTTGCGGTCACTATTTGGTTTAAGCTGGCTGGTGTGATGTGATACAGCTTGAACTGAGTATAGTGCAACCAATATATTTGGTACTGTTCCAAGGGCTGTAATGATAGGTCCTTGGTCCAAAAAATTTATACTTTAAACCTCTGCACAACAAAGGGAGAAACAAAGATAAGAACTATGTGTGAATCCACACATTTTGCAGATATCTAACCTTTGTTTTCAAAAGCACTGGGACTAATGGAGAAAAAGGGGCTTGGAAGAAGAATTTGGAAAAAAGAGCAGGGAGCACTGAATTTACATGGTATGTTAAAACATGGTTTATTGACCAAGCCACTATGGCCTTTTCACACAAAATAAGCCATAAAATAGTTTTAGTTATTGTAGTACTTAGGTTCACCTATCTTAGTAAATTATAGTGTGTGGGGATTGGGTTTTTGGCTTAATATGTTGTACGAACCTAGCCAGTGTGGCTTGTAAACCATAACTTAGTGGTATGTATTAGTCTAGCATTTATAAGATATTAGTAAATTGTGGTTGGAACAAATCTTGATTTAGCACAATATATGAACCCTATACCTTTGTTCATACATCACATAAGTGGAAACAAAACATGTTTTAGTGCAGGCTTTGGTGTCTACTTATCTGACCATGATTGCTGAAAACTGGTAGTATAGCTTTCTACCATGTTGAGTGAGAAATACATGAAAATAATACAGGAAGCAAAAAAAGCAAACTGCCCAAACATTTTCTCTTATATAGGGGGTAGCTCTAGCCACTTTGCAGCAATCAACTCCCATCTACCCCAGATATCCTCTTTTCTGGGAACTAGTTCAGACATAATGAAAAAGTAAGGGAGGCTTGACCATTTGCTTTAAGACAATGGGAGGGGTGTGTGTGTGTGTGTGTGCTCAGCTTATTGAATTTGTTGTGAAGGCTTGATTTATTCATGGATATGCTTACTTATTTTAATCTGCCCAGTAAGTGGAGGTCTCTAGTTATTGATCCAGATTATGGAAGGGGGGGGGCAAAGAGTATTTTTGGATTCTTTTACTGTGATTTCTCAATATGCTTTTCCAGATGGGGATGAGTCGTGTTCTGTCTCAGAGAAGCAGGAGGAGGCACCTGCTGCCCCAAATAATGGACCGTTAAATATGGTAGTTGACAAAGTGAACGGGCAGGAGGAGCTGAGAGAAGCCCCAGAGGAACTGAGTGACAAAGATGTGTCTGATTCAACCTCAATTGACAACACTTGGGAAGATTCGAGTGAGTTTCGCCGACAAATGGTGATAGGCGATGGACCATCAGGAGAAGAGGAGGCAGTGATACAGTCACGCCTCGCTACATACCGAGATGAAGATGTGACAGCTGAGAGTTGGCGGGCACACAGGAAACATGTCTTCATTTTAAGTGAGGCTGGGAAACCCATTTACTCACGTTACGGCAACGAAGAAGCCCTCAGTTCCACCATGGGTGTCATGATGGCCCTCGTTTCATTCATCCAAAGTGGGGATAACTCTATCCGCTCCATTTATTCTGGTATGGAAAAAGTTTTAAAAGGAGTAGTGCTTGGTAAATATTGTAATTTATTAGGATGATATGTGAGCCTATGATTTATCCAAAATAGGAAAAGCTCGAGCTTGCAGTGTTTAGATTTTGTTAAGGTGTTACATAAGCACTGGATTTGTACCCATTTGTACCCATTTTGATCAAGATTGTTTATTAAAATGTCTGAGGCCCTTTGCAACTAGGCTGGTCTATCCACTACCACAAAAACAGTTGTATTTCCCTTGATACTTAGTGTATCTTGAGGTTATCATTATACTATATGTATATTCTAGGTGGTGGAAGATAGGCAACAGTATGTCAACTTCCAAAGTAATTTCTAAATTAGAAATCTTACCTTGCATAGAATAGTGTGGGGGTGCTTGGAGTAAAACTGCTTTGGTTAAGCTTCTAGTATACTGGCCGAAATGCACAAACCCGACCAGTAATGTGTCTTCAGCATTAGCAGGGAACGCTTTATATAATGCAAGTACAGCTAAGGCTGATAACCTAACTGATTCTTTTCCTATTTTACTAAAAACGTTTTTTTTTTTACTAAAAAAGCCATGGTAGGCAGGAGCAGTCAATATCTATGGGCCCATCTGGCAGTGACCACTGTATTCATTTGCTTGTTAGACTTAACATCCCACTATTCCTCCAAGAGCTCAAGGCATAATACATAGCACTCCCTACTCCATTTTCCCCCATAGTAGCAATCCTATGAAGTAGGTTGGGCTGAAAGAAACCCCAAAGTTACCTAGTGAACTTCCATAGCTGAGAGTGGACTTGAACCTGAGTTTCCCTGGTCCTTAACCACTATACCACTGTAGCACAGAGAAGTTTGCAACTTGAAATGTAAGAGGAATACATCTTAAAGAGCATGAATCAGCAAGAAATGAAATGAAATGGAAGGAAGTACTTTTGATGTGTGTGAAATTAAAAAGGGGAAGGATGTCATCGATCTGAAGGGAGGTGATCTAATTTTGTGGAGTGGAGTTGATGAATACTTGTATGGAACTGTGGGCATAGGGTTAAATTATGAACAAAAGGGCTAATTAGTTATCAGAAAGTATAAATTAGGTCAACCATGGATGAATTTTGGGAAATATGGTGCAACATTCTAAATAAATGTGATCCAGGAGAAAAAATTACTTTTAAGTGACTTGAGCAGGTAGATGGGAACAAAGATAAAAGAGCATAGAAAAAATACCTGGGCCATTTTGAAGACTCAAGAATGAATGAAAATGGTGATTGTTGGTGAAAAAGATGTGTTTGGAATGTGTGGTTTAAATAGATCTGTTTGTTTGAACATGTGCCAAAGAAAAGAATACAAGTCTAAAAGCATGACTGATTTGACAGTTTATGCTGAAAAGTTGAACGAATGAGGATCATATTGCAAAACAAATATATAAAGAAAGAGCGAAGGGGTCAAGGGGAAGACCAAGGAAATCAGTTTTGTGGTACTGATGAGCTTCTCAAAAAGAGAGGGATGAGAAGTTCAAGGAACAAAAGGCAATGTATGAATTGGTATACAGGTAGTCCTTGCTTAATGACCCTAATTGGGACCGGAATTTCCATTGCTAAGTGATCAGTAGGTGAAACATCATGTGACTGCATCGCTTAGCAACAGCAGTTCCAATAGTCCCTATTGTGGTCGTTAGGTGAGGACTTCACACTTCTCTTGCTCTGTTGCATTCACCTCCGCTTCAAATCTCCCCCCCCCCCGTCCTATTTCCCTCCTATCTCTGCCCCTTTGGCCACTCTGCACTCCACCACCCCCTGCAACCTGCTGCCCCCAGCTGACCTTCGCCATCTTCTTTCTCTTGTTGCTTCCTGAATATGGAAGGTAATGTGGAAAACAGAGTGTACTCTTTTTTGCTACAAGTTTTTTTAATAACTTTTTTTAAAACGTAGCATGCCAGTGGAACATGGAACCTGTTACTGTATTTTCTCCATTGCTAACCATTAAGACAAAATTATTATAAAGTGTTCTATGTGGGATGGGTAGTTGAACTTGGAGAATAGCTATATAAGGCTATGGCTGGAAGAACAAAAGCATGTTTTGACTGTTTTAAGAAGAAACTTGTTCCAACTTGTATTTGATTTTAGTTCTAAGTTTAATAGATAAAATTCTGGCTTTTGTCTTAGTAGAAACCACAGACTATGATGTAGTATTATGCTGAGCAAAGAGAAAGGTGATTTTATGAGCAACTCTTTATCCAGGAAAGAAAAAATCCCAAACTCTAAAGTAGTTTACGGTGAGCACATCTTAATTCTGGAACTTTTGCCATGCTATTAATACTTTGGTATGTGCAGCCGAGTGCCTGCTTGGTGCGAATGCATGCTTCTTTTTAAAGTTCCCTACCACATGTTTAGGCTCCCAGCGGAAAGCTTAGAAATCTGCTGATGTCACCAAATTCTAATTAAGGGAAAAGGGACTGGATTCATACATTGAAATAACCTGTGATTTGGTGCCAGGATTCTTAGCCATGCTGGCTTGGGATTTATGGGCCTTGAAGTCAGGATGGATTTAATTTAAAATTGATTCATTTAAAGTTTTAGACAGGAAAATTCAATTTAATGATTTAAATTATATTTCACTACTCAGACTCTATAATCCTCATTTCTGATAAAAGTTAATTTTTGTTGTTTGGTATACCTGAAGAGACGTGGACTTCATTTTTAGAGGGTACATGATTTATGTCACACCTAGCTGATCCAGGCAGATCTTGAAAAAGCTAGTAGTATGTGGAAGGGACTGAGGGACCATTTCCTGGGTATTCCAGGATTGTTGGTGAAATTGGGAGGTAAAAAAAGAAAATCCCAGTAAAAGGCAGTGACAAATAACTTCTATATTATTGCCGAAGTATTAAGCTTGATTCAGAGTTACTCAGCCAGATTTTTCATATTAATTTTAAAAATGGAACAATAGTCTTAGTATCAAGGAAGCAAATAATACTTGCAAAGTCATTAGGAGCTGAACCAGCTCCAGTTCAGTTCAGTTTATGGGACATTTTTGCTAGAATAACCATCACCAGTTTTTAGTATTACTTGGTGGATGTACTGATGAAAGTGGAACAATTAGAGGAATATACACCTCTTTTTCTCAGCTGCATTAAACTATCTGACCTGAATTCCAAGAGCTATTGACCATAGATGATAAGATAAAAAAAAATAGGATGACATTAAAAATATTTATTATTCATAAGACTTGTTCTTCAATGCAGGAGCAGTTTTCACTGTTACTTCATTCAGAAATTCACTGAATTTCTTTGCCACACCATAAATATAAGACGTTCATTAAAATGTTCTCAAATATAGTCTCTTTTGTTTCTAGTTTTAATCAGTAGAAGATACATTCCAGGACTGGAAACAGACTCCTCAAATCCTCATGGAAACAGAAATGTGTTCTGCTCACTTTTAATTTCATGGTTTATTCTTCCCAGTTCCTGGCATTTATACTAAGACTCTTCTTCTTTGCCCAGATTTACTCCATCAGCTCAAATACAGTAAATCCTTGATTTAACTTTTTTTTTTTAAAGGAAAAGAAATAGAGATTCTAAGAAAGCTAATATTGCATTTGTTGAGTTTCCAAAACTGGTTCTATCGTATTTATGCTGCACTCTACTGAAGCAATTGACTGTTTTTTTCCCTCCCTCCTTTTACCACAGATGATCACAAACTGGTTTTTGTGCAACAGGGCCCCTTGGTACTGGTTTCAGTTTCGCACACCCTACAATCAGAGCAGCAGCTACGCCAGGAGCTTTTGTATGTCTACGATCAGATCATCAGCATGCTTACCCAGGCCAGCATCACCCGCATCTTTGAGCGGAAGAAGAACTATGACCTCCGGCGCTTGTTGACTGGCTCGGAAAAGATCCTTGACCGTTTGCTGAACCTGGTAGAATCAGATCCTTGTTTCCTCCTTGGAGCTGTACGCTGCCTACCCCTCCCCGCCTCCCTCCGGGATTCCCTGGGCACTTTGCTCCAAAAAGCCATCACCCCTAACCTGGTCTTCTCCATTTTGGTGGCTCGTAGTCAACTGGTCACCACAGTGCAGGAGAAAACAGTGATTGAAGATTGCCGGTTAGAACCTACTGACCTGCACCTGTTGCTCAATCTCATTGGGGCAACCTCTGCCTTCCAAACTGGGGAGATTTGGACACCTATTTGTTTGCCACGTTTCAACCCTGATTGTTACTTTTATGCTTATATTTCTTATTTGGATTCAGAATGTACTGTCTGCCTCATCCTTCTCTCTACGGACAAGGACTCTTTCTATTCTGTGTCAGACTGCAAGAAACGAATTGAGGAGGGCATGAGGACTCAGAACTACCTGCAGGCACTCTCAAGTGGCTTAAAGAGCCCATCCTATAGTGTGGGGCTGGTGGGAGTACCAGATCTTCGGCACTTTATGTACAAACCTCTGGATATACCGGATAATTATCGACAGCTTCCCCAGTTCACCAGGTAATAAGCTTTAGAGGGTTGGAAAATGACTGTGAGGAGGATCAAATATGTCCTGGAGCAAAGAGGTATCTGTGATGATCATCATAAGGGCCAGTTTCATCTGTTTTTTGGTTCTGATTCCACTAGATATCCACTGATGTCTTAATATGATATATCACTCTGTTCATGTTTGGAGTAATATCTAAAAATATGGCTACCTTTTTTTTTAATGTCCTGCATCTGCCCAAGAAAGAGTTCCTGAAATTTTTTGTTGTAACTTTCTCTCATCTCAAATTAATGTTCCTCTTGATTTTGTAGATGTTTTGACAGTGTGCAGGTGAAGATGATGTTCTGACATCAAAAGACAAAGCTGAATGTGGCAGTGTGTTTTGTCATTCCCGACTGCCCCTCTATTGTTCTGGTCTTGATTAGATATGTCCTGACATGTACTCATACTACCAGGAAGTCTCTTTTGAATTATTCACATAATACCAAAGTTAGTCTGAATAAAGTCATGCAAGATAAATAAATGATTAATGGTTGGTATAGTTTTATTTTGCATGTAGAATTACAGAAAGTGAATCTGATTTTTTTTCAAAAAGAAAAATATGAATAATCCAAACATATTGGAGAATTAATTAACATGAAAGTTGCAACACAATCAGTTATCATCCCACTCTACTTTGCTCATTTCATGGCATCTGTATGTCTTTCTGCACTTAATATTGTATTGTTTGTTTCACTGAAATATTCATTTGTCAAAATACAAACATGTTTGTAAACATATACTACATTTTGAGTGTATGCTCAGTGGTAAAGCTGGATTTGCTATCTTATTCAACAAAAAAGTTCCACCTGAGGACTAATCTTACTTAGATTTTTTTTCCTTTGAAGTTTGCTGAGTTGAGGCTGTTTCTTCTCACTCCTTTTCTCTTCCTTTCTTTATAACTTCCAGCCAGAAGCTGTGGGAAGAGCTAAGCTACATTTGTTCAGTTTCAGCTTTATATAAAGCAGTCATGTGTCATTTCTTTCCTCCCAGTCCACAAGAATCTATGTGTAGAAAGAGGATTTTGTCTTGGGACTTCTGGGCTGCAGGAAGGCTGAACATCATGAGATCCCAATTAGTTGGCAAAATTTATAAACAATAATCTAAAAGATGTCAAGAAGTGAAATTGACTCTGATGTATTTTAGTGCCTTAAAGGGATGATGTTGCATTAGAAATCCTTCTCTTTCCCTCCATTTGCTTCAGGAAAAGCAGCATTAGTAACAGTCCTATCTTATTGGGATGGGCCATGTGATTTATTTTGGCAAAAATGTGTTCCGCAGTTCCTTCTATTAAAGTCTTCCAAGGTCCAGGAAGCCTCTTTTGACCAATATAGTACAAAACATGATAGATCAGTAGAGCCAGCCACAAATCTAGCCTGTTGCAGAATCAGATTTGCAGTCGCTTCAGAAGATTCTAGTGTGTTTGCCAAAAGCTGATGACGTTAAACTCAAGTGACTAGCGGTAGGCTGAACATTGCCACACCTAGCACTATCTGTAGAACAACAGCTCATTACATATGAATTCTGGAGTCTATTCTGTGATAAGACATTGTGTAGGTGAACTCTAAGCTCTGGTTTCCTCAATATCTTATTCCTCACCTACTACAGTCCAGAACTGGAGGGGCCATATTGCAGTGAGAATGAACGGCACCGACTCTTTGACCTCTACCACTACCTTCATGGTCGCATCCACAGTACCTCGCGTCCTCTACGTCTCATCTACCATGTAGCTGAAAAGGAGACTTTATTGGCTTGGGTGAGGCATGGCAGTGAATCTCTTTCTTGGCTAAGGGTGGAACTCTGTGGTAGACTGGCAGATGGATGGGTTGGACCTATGTTATATGGGGACATTAGAGAGTTCTTAAACCCATGTTGTCCTCATACATCTTATTACATAAGATAGTTATAAAGGACAAACATCTTGCAGGAAAGAATTGGAGAGGTGGAGTCTTCATCTTTCTACTGTTCACTGATTCCCTACTATGAATCTTTATTTGGGTTTTTTGGCAAATAATAATAATTACTATAAATCTTCCCTTATTGGTTTTAATAATTGTAACACTAGTCAGTTTTCTAAACCTGAAATAAATAATTAGGTCAAGGTCACCCAGATGGCTTGTGCCTAAGGTGGGACTAGAACTCACAGCCTCCCTGTTTCTAGCCTGGTGTTTTAACCACTGCACCAAGCTTACTCCCACGTAAATGCAGTAGGATGGAAGCTTCAAAATGATAAATTTCAATTTGTTAATTGACAGATTATTGAGTAGCAGTATGTTTAGACATCTGGTGAAACTTGTATTACAGCAGTGAGAACATTTGAATACTTTCAAAAAGCTCTACGGTATGACTAAGAATTGGCATTTTTAACATTGAACATAATATTTTTCATACTACATATCTTAAGCAATTCCATAGCCTATAAAACAGAAAGTATGTCATGGAAATATTTTTATTTTGCAAACTGAGAGTATTACTTTGGGCTCCTGATGATATGTTTGGAGACCATTTTGGTCCCTGCAAAATTTTAGGAACCACAATAATTGATATGCTTTCTAATGAATTAAGGTTCCATCTAGGAATTGGGAAGGAGCTAGTATATCTTAATTCTTTTTCTTATTCTCAAAAGTTTTCCTCTCTTTCCTAGTTGGAATCTTTGGCTTCCCCTGCATTCTCCAATTAATGTCTTATACATGTTCTGCGGTGGTAGTCATGCAGCCTGAATGGAGTATTTTTTTTTTCCCTTTCTCATAGGTTACCAGTAAGTTTGAATTATATACCTGTTTCAATCCTTTGGTGACGAAAGCTGGTGCCATCAATGTTTTGACCAAGCTGTTACGTTGGATAAAGAAGGAAGAAGACCGTCTCTTCATCCGTTACCCACCCAAGTATTCCACTACACCTAATCCTGGGAAAGGAAGCAGGGCCCCCCGAACAGATGGTACTGAGAATGGCTTCTTTGGAGGAGGTCACTAGACCTAGGACTTCCAGTTGCTCTGAAATGCATTCTGAACGTGTGCCACCCTACAAATAGCCCTGGATGATGGAACTGTTCTGTGAGCTGGGGGAGCTCCTAGTCTTGTTCTCTAAACCGGGACGGGTGGTGGATATGAGAAGGATTGGAGTTTATCAGGCTGCGCTGTGTCCCATTGTTGGAGATAAATCCAGAAAGCTTTAGCCTGATGTTTTTAAATATTTTTTTCCACTTGTGTTCTTTGCTTGTAGGGAAGTACTGAGTTTGGGTAGAGATCCTGAGATTGACTGGAAATAGCTAAGGAGGCTTTGGCTGATATAGCTTTGGAAGTGACATGTAACTGGAAGTTACAGGATTTCACAAGGATTGTGCTTAAATTACGTTGACGCTTCTGCAGCCTAGTGGGTTTACATTTCTTTTAGTGAGTGCTCATACCACTCCTATTATTTCTGGGTAATTGCTTTGTTTTCACCATTTGGATTCCTCTTCCTCCTTGGCAATTTACTCAGTCTGGATGCTTTTTCTTCCTTCAGAGTAAAATCAGGAGGTAGGGAATCTGGCTTGCTCTGCTTGTCTCAAAGAATATTCCAAATGGGGTAATAGTGGAAAGAGAGCCCCAGTGGAAGACTAAAATAAAGTAAATCTTAGAGAAGTTTGAAAATACTTGCTGCTTTCTGATAAACTGCTTGATTGTCCATAGTTCTTCTGGAATGGCTGTCCATGGCAGATCTACAGTGGTGGGTGCTACGGATTTATTGGAAGGCTGGCACTTTCAGACAGTGTGTAATTTAGTAAAATGATTTTCTACAAAGGTAGCTGATTTGAATCATTTTAATGCAACTTTGCGAGTAAGTCAAAGAAACCCAGTTCCAAAGAGTCTTTCATCCTGGGACTATCTAGCAGTATTTTTGATTAACATACATGTTGTATCTTCATTTTGTACTATAATTACCCTTTGAATGAGGGAGGCTGCTTCGGCCCTTTGTTCTGATACCATGAGAAGGTATATAATGTGTGATATAATGTGGTATTTAATATGTGAAGGGTATTTTGTAGTCCTTTGAGGAATTTGATGTCTGTATGTAATGGCTCAATTTGTACAGTGCAATTAATTATGATGGAATTTTGACTTACTTTTTAATGTCTTAAGTTGAACCTAATTGGATTTAAATTGTCCCTTGGCCTTCCATAACTTTCTTCCTGTCTTCCTTACTCTTCTCTTGCTCTGTTTTTTCATGTTTTAAAATTCCTATGGGTAGCTACTGGAATGGTACACTGGTTCTTGTAGTTTTTCCTATATTGAGGTGCCGCTGTTCTCTTTTCCCACCCCATAATTAGGAAGACAGATAACCCCATCGTAAATGTACTTTTGGGTTTAATACTGACAAATATCTCTCTTCCCATGTCTGCCAAGTTCAGATTTTGATGGAATATGCAAGCAGATGGGCAAAGGTTCTTCTCAGGAGGTGACGCCGGTGACACCCAGTTAACCGTGGCATCCTTTGCCTTCCTGAGCAGCTGCTGCTCTGCCATGCTAAATGTGTCCTGTATAAATTTGCTGCTCTTTTACTGGGTCTTTTTTGTGTACGTATCCTTCATATTTGTTAAAAATAAGGCTTAGGTTTGGGAGCACAATCCTGCTCTTCTTGTCATATCTTAAGATGGAAGAGGAGAGAGAGAGTATATGTCTGTGCGTAATGAGGGAAGACTTAATTTAACTGGGGATTCCTCTGTAGGTGTGTTGATAGTGTTGAACTATGAAATGAATTGGACCCTCTTTGTCAACGCTGCAAGAAGCAAAGGAATGATGTGCTTTTGAAGGGTGCATCTGTTGCTATTCAATTCCTTCTGGTGGTGCAGGCTTGCTTCTGGCTGGCACTTTTTTCTACCCTGATAAAAGAACAGCACTGCTTGTATGCATAATATGGCTGGATGACAATGATTTATATTTCTAGCTAAGCTGATACAATGAGAACTGGAAACATCTGATTAAATTCCAACAAAATCCATTTTAAAATCAGCTCCATCTTGGCATGTGTCTGTTTCTTTCTCCATCTGCCGGCATGCTCAGCAAAAAAATCTCTTTAACTTGCAAGGATCAACTGCATTATCTGTTTCCAGGTTTCCAGGAATCCTCTGTGACAATGTGGCAAATAATAAGGCTGTTTCTTTAAACCATTAAAACTAAGTCTGTTTTAATTGTATGCAATCTAGGTGATCAGTTAGTTAATTTATTTAAACCTATATCAAATATAGATATAAGGAAAACAGCAATGACTGTAAAAGTAGGTCATTTTAAACATGTATGTCTTAGGAAGGCAAACTCCTAAAAGTGGCATTCTTCCTTCTCATTTAGAAGAGGAAGAGTTTTGACAGTTGCTGCATTCTATAAGTATTTGTAGTGTAAATTCTTGTACTTTTATACAAGTACTTCTGTATGTACTTATAGTCTCTGTAGTAAAAAAAAAAAGAAAAAAGGAACCCATTTAATTGGGAGCACTTAATTTATGCAAATGATTTTAATCAGTTAATTTAATTATTTAATTAGTCATTGAAGATGTGCAAAAAGTTTACTAACAATGCTTTTAATGAGGCTGCCTGTTTTTAATGTAGTTTGGTTAGTAATTAGTTGCTTGAAAGAACCAGTTTTTAAAATCTGGAAGGGATTCCTTCTTCTCAGATGTAAGAAACAGATAACTTTATTTTCTCAAGTCCTATGTTATAAAATTTACCTTGAGACTGCACTCAACCAGTGGCATCAAAAATATCAAAGAAATCTGTAAGTGGAACTGGAAATTTAAAAGTTACATTCCTTTAGACTCTAAAGTTTAGAGAGGTAATTTCTAAACAATATTTTTCTGCAAAATTGGGGAAGAAAAAGGAAATCTGAAACACTTGACAAAAAAGGTAACGCTGTTGTCAGTAGGCATTCTACATGTTGACTGTATTTTTCTTCCTTTCCCTATTTTGTGTCTTTCCTTTGTTCCTTCTGCTGGGCTCAAAGACAATTCTGTCATATGCAAATTAACTAGCATTAGTGAGTTATGTGTAGTGTCACAACATATACTTCATTGAGATGTTAATTTATTTACTTTTAAATTATTATTTTATTTATAAATCTTCCCTTTAGACAAGTAAATAGCAAAGGAGAAGATGTCCAAGTGGTCTATAAACACTAATTTGAGAATAATAGGAGTTTTCGGAGTGAATAGTACACAAAAGAAAGTTGGTCAAAACTATATGGGACAAGGTTAAGGTGCAGTGCTGTCTACCGAAGAGCTTTTCTCCACTGCTGAGTTAAAATGCTATCTGCTGGTCCTTGAGTTGTCAAAAAACTATACTAGCATGAATATTTTCTCTTCTTGTTGCTGATACTCCCTTTACTGAGCATGTTCTGGGTCATTGCCAAATGGTGCTGTCTAAATATGTCATGAGCTAATGGGACATATGGCACTATAGCAGGAATGGGATAGGTATATATAGGATAGATACGGGATCCTGTCCATCTTCTTTTGTGCCCTCTTCCTACACCCTATTCAGACATGACACTTTGAATAAAACTTAAAAAAAAAAACCAGATTGGACTCACAAAGGAAGCTGAGTCATACGCAGCAGGATTTCTCTCCCCTTCTCATCCTTTCTTTATGTAGATAATAAATGCTGACTTCCAGATTTCTTTGTCTGTTCGAGAGGCAACTGGGAAGGAGAATTTGATATTGCCATTTTAGTGTTGCTCTATTTTAGTGATTTATGCTATTTCAGCCTGATTTTGCTAATGCCATTCCACAGTTCTGTTGCTTCAGCCTTACTTTAGAGCAGTTGCAATATTTAAGTATTGAACTGTACCCAGATCTTTAGAGCTGATGGCAAAATAGTGACAGATGAAGATGACCAAGGACTGGAGGAGAGGGGGCATGCTGCATTCCCCAGAATTCACCAATAAGTGCCACTCTGATCCCACCCACACTGGTCACCTGAAGACCCTTCCCCAGTTGCACCTAACCACGAAACAAGCATACCATTTTTCTGTTGTGCCCCCATAGTATTGCCTTCATCTCACCCCTAATTCATTCTGAGCAAGCTTTACTCATTCTCAGCTGTACTGGTTAAAGCCTATTTTCTTCCTTAACCTGACAACATCCAACAGCAGCTGCAATGGGTATAAAATTGCCTCCCATTACACTGGAGATGAAGTGGGTTTTGAACTCCATTTTGGACATCATTTGCTACTTTTGCTATATCTGTGGCCTGTCTGGAATAGGGGGAGCACAATTTAACATTGCTGACTGCTGATCCATTTAAAACTATGCCAAACGTGGAACGGATATATTTGTATTGCAGGGGTGGGATGCACTTCAGCCATTACTGGTCCATGCAATTTAGACCACTTTGGGCTCTTTCTGCATGTCTCCCTTCCTCCAGTGAGTGTGGAAGTAACTTATTTTTTTGGATCTCTCCTGAAAGTGTTGGCTCCTTTCTGTTATAAGATGGTGTATACTTGAAGTGCATATTTTGAAAATAGACTTGAAAAACAAGGCCACATTTTCAAAAGGTATCTTTTTCCAGGCTGGACTACACAAAGATAGAGCTGTTCTTTTACGTTTCTTTTTCCTTTGTCACAAAACCTGTCAGCAGTTATCCTGCACCTGCAGAATAAATGAGGTTTCACATTACCAGTGGAAGAATATTGTATTATGTATAGGTGAAAATTGTGTGTTATTTTTCATTACTTTGGAAACTGGAGGCAGGCAAGTCAGTTGTATTTAAATCTAGGCAAGATCAAAAAGTAATGCTTGGCAAGCTTTGTAATATAAAGGGCATGAGTCTATAATTTAAAACAAACATGGGCAATGTTTTACTACCCAGAGCTGTCTTTTATTTTTATCTTTTTCAGCCACTGAGGGCCACAGCATGGCTGGTGATGTGGTAATCTCCCTGGAGGGGATGGAGCCACATTTTTTGTTTTAAACGGCCTGGGTGTTTCTTTAATGCAAAATAATGTGTTGTTTTATGTCCCCTCTCCTGAAATTGCCTTGCTGTCAAATTGTGATAGTGCTATGGAGAGGAGAGTGCCTGGGGGCTGCAAAAATGGGTCTAGGGATCACATGTGCATCCTGACTTAATACATTTGGCCCATTCTTTTCATTTAGCCTGGGGTGCTGCTGGATTAATGACTGAGTTTGAGTGTCTAGGGACTGGTAGTGATTTTTTACTTTTAGAATAAGCTATGATCTTTTCTCATAGATACATATCATTCAGGCCTTTGGAACGGTACAGGTAGGCCAGAATAATGTCTTTTTATATAGGATTTCAGTCAGTATAGATGCTTTCAGTGGCTGCCTGCAAGGTCAAGGAAAATCCTATATGCTTGAGTGTCTCTTCTCTCTCTCCAAATGCATTATTTACCAAATGCATTTCAAGGAGCTGGGGATGACCAAGAAAGCCGCAAAAGTTCTATGCCAGAAGCATTTCCACCCGAGAAATGCTTCTGGCATAGCACCAATTGTAAGCCGCCCAGAATCACAAATGTGAGATGGGTGGCTATATAAATAAAATAAAATAAATAAATATGTACATCATCCATTGTAAAATTCTGTATGCTGGGAGACTTGATAAAGCCTAGACTCCTTTAATGTTTAAGCTGGCTTGTTCGGCTCTGGACAGAGCAGGTTCCTACAGACTAATTTCTTTTGAACTGGGAGGGATTAACTTGATTGTTTAAAAAATGTCATCTTTCCTTTTTTGGTGCTAAATGAAGAGTAATCTCCACTTTATTATTAATTCAAACAGCTCCTCATTTTCCAGAAATATGTGTTTGACTTTGATTTCTTGAAAAATGTAACTTTCTATAAGATCCTGTTTTTAGTCTTTTATTTGCTTTTGTTCCATCTCTTTCCATTCTTCACACTTTACTGGTATTCTGTTAAGAAACAGCATTTCTCTGATCCTCTTCAGTTGTATAACCTGCCCTAGGATCTAGTATTAGTTACGTAATGTCTTAAGGCTGTTACACTTGACCATTGTTTTATTTCCCCCTTTTTGCTGCTTTTGTACATTATAGAAAACTTGATGGAGTGTGGTAAGCAAAGTATCCTTGGCCCCATCAGAGCATTTCTCTTTGGCAGAGTCTCTGAGGTCTTGAAGGAAGAACTGAGCTCTTGTAAATAAATAATAAAGCTATGTCAACTGCTGCACTTGAAGGAGCCTAATAAAATATTGGAGACCTAAGTGTGGATGGTGTCTGAATATCTGCATTATTGTGTGCTCTTAACAAAAGATCGGAGTAGCAGCCTGCTTCTGTTGGTTGCATTGTGTGCCCAAATGGGCTTCCTCACGGTATTAATAACAGCAAGACGGGGACTCTACCATTTTTCTGCTAGAAGTTTGTTTTTTTCCTGTGTTGGCCATAGAAAAATCAGAAATTTCATCAGAAAACCCCCACAACTGGTCAGCAGAAAAATGATAAAAACTGTTTTAAAGGGCTAGAAGCCTTATATGGACTTTTTGTTGAAAGAAGAAAAGACTGAATTGATGATTATGGGTTTGGAGATTAAAAAGAGTTAAAAAGGAAGGGGAAAAATCAAGATGGCAATTACTCGATGGAAAGGAGTGTGGAAGTCATAATCCTATGTTTTCTTTCTTTTTTCTCTTTTTTTCTATCTATCTTTCATTTTCAATACTTTTATTGTATTGAAAATGTTTAATAAAAAATATTAGGGAAAAAGAAAAAGAAAAACCCCATGACTAAGATCTGCATACGCAGGTGCTGATCTTGCACGCGAGGGCAGGATGAACAGAGGCCTAGTTTTCTCCACTCAGCCTGCGGCTGAACTGGGCTCTGAGCAGCAGAGCGGTTGCCTCTGAGTCTTCCTGCACAGTGTCGGTTGAGAAGAGGCGGGAAAAGCTACGCTGGTGGAGGAAGGAGCCTCCTGCATGCTGGGGGGACGAGGATGGAGGGGAGCCACCCAGGTAAGAAGGGGATGGGTGCAGGGATGGGACCATCAGAGGGGAGAGCCTAAGCCTTTGGAGGGGAGGCATCCGGGGGGACAGTAGGAGCAGTGTCAGAATATTTACCAGACGTTAATGCCATTTTTACAATGGAAGGAGTAGAAACCCCATTTGAGCGGGGTGCGAGGATCACGCAGACTTTCACCCCCCCCCATTTTTTCCCCTTTTATTGTAGATCATGATACATTGTATTATTTTCAGAATATTTAGCAGAAGTAACACCATTTTTAGAACGGAAAGATTGTTACGTTGAAGAGGGAGGAGGGATAATAATTTTGATTGTAACTGCTGTAATGTAGGTTGGAAGTCACTTATTTATCTTTTTTTTCTTTTAACTGTATTGTTTCCTGCACTTTTAATTTTTCTCTCTCTCTTCTTTTCTTCTTTTCTTCTTTCCTTCTTTTATATATTTCTTCTTTTTCTTTCATTCAAGTAAAAAATCTCAAAAATCAAAATAAACACACAAGGAATAGAAACCCCACTTGGGTGAGGCGGGAGGAACACGCAGACTTCTTTCCCCCCCCGATTTTTTCCCTTTTATTGTAATGTTGTAAATCATGATACATGGTATTATTTCAAGGCAGATTTCAATGCAGTAAGGTTTATATAATATGATTAAAAATGACTAACATTCTATTATTTAAAAAGCTTGCAGTATTAAAAATAAAAAGTAATAAAAAATCTAGTCCCTGAATTTGAGAAACACCCAATACCTTTGCAAAGGGGCTTTTTCGCCCCTCCCCCAGCGATAGGAGCCACAAGTACTTCAGGCAACGCAAAAGGTTTCTATTAAGGGTATGGTTACATCTTTATATATGGTACAGAAACAAATGATACATACATTTGATATTTGTGATGTATCAGGAAGCAACAAATCAAACAATAAAAGACATTGATTGGGCGTGAGAAAAGACAAACACCCTTAAAATATGTTGCATCTCCTCCTTTCCCACCCAGGTTTGTTTCTTTAACACCCACAACACTCAAGGATTTCAGAATAGAGCACTACTGTTTGGTTGACTGTCCCTGAAAGGGCTAGTTTTTGCATATGAAAGGAAATAGCTTTGGCTCAAAGGAAAAACATGGTTTCCTAAACTTCAAAAGGAGGCATGGATGCCATGCTAAAATACTAATATCACCTTTAGTAAAATGCTAATAATAAAGCCTAAAATTCTACGTAACAGAAAGAAGCAAGTAAGTCAGCTAAGAAGTAGATGAAGACATGTCCAAGCAAGGACGTGCTGACTGTTAGGCACAGGCTAAAAAGATAAAAAGTAACGTATAAAGGGGGGTATTTGGCAGTGATCTTGCGTGGCTGCCACCCAAGCCTGCTTACTTGCTGTGCTGGGGCTCTTTTAATAAAGAAAAAACTGATTCTCCGCAAGTGTCATCTGGCATCTTCTTTCCTGGCTTGGAGCTGAACACTGGGAAGGGTTTTTTATTTCCTAACAGCAGCAAGGAGAACAGAGATGCTCCTCACAAGATGTGATAGTTGTGCACAATGAGTCTTCCCCCCCAATCTCATCCATCTCCCCCTCTTCTCAGCCAGTTTTTTTCTTTTTTTAAAGTTGCAGTTTACTATTAGATGTTGAGAAATACTTGGCAGATGAGCCATGGTTTTTCTTCTCCTTTCCCCAGCTGTTCAACCCAGAAGGAAGGGAAATGAAGGTAAATAGGGCAATGGAAGAAGTAGCTGCTAAATTGGGGCGTTTCTCTCTCACCAGGGGCAAATGTTTAGCTTTCTGGATCAGAATTTCCCGCCAGATTTAAGCTGAAGTCTTCCAAAACATATTATGCATTAAAACTCAGAAAATGTGTGATCCAGCATTATGCTACGACAGAGTGATGTATTTTTTGATAGATTAGATTTATATCCTGCCTTTCCTTTAGGGGCTCAAGGTGGCATACATAGTGCTCCTTCCTCCTCCATGTCTCCACTCACAACAACACCCCTGAGAGGTAGGTTGGGCTGAGAGTCACCCAGTGAGCTTCTGTGGCTGGGGCGGACTTGGACCTGGTCTTCCCCACTCCTAGTCTTTTACCCCTACAAAGGGAAGAGAAATTACAATGTACAGCACAGCTTGGTTTTGCCTCTCTGAAGGCTCCTATGAGAATTTGCTCTTTTGGAATACTGCCTAAAACTGGACTTTTGTCAGAGGTCCCCCGGTTTAGTTCATCCTTGTTGACAGATTTGTTTCCAAGTGGGGAAAAAAAGGTGTAACCAAGGATTTAGCCTATTGTGGTCTTTCAGTTCAGTTCTTAATCATGTATGGCCAGAATAAAGCCTTGATAGAGGCCAAACAAAGAGCCCTCGGTTTGGGCCTACTGTACAGAGGAAGTCTTAAGGCTCAATCCTCAACTGTAAAGGCCCTCCGTTATATTGAAGCCCTATTCTACAAATCCTTCTCTACTCTTAAATGTTTATGCAATATTCTATATTAATATTAATAATGTTAATGTTAATATTCTAGTATTCTATCAGTTCATCACAGGAGCCCTCACCTCTTATGGATACGTTGGAGGAAACAAACAGTAATATTCTATTCAATTGTGTCCATGTTTAGATGAAAATATTGAAATAGTTGCCTATATAAGATTGCACTGCCCCTCATATGCTATTTAGTGCTCCAAGTGAATAATCTTGCTAAGTAGCTGGGCTGGCCTCTAGAGGAGGTTGGGTGTTTTCTATTAATGGTCCAGTCTATTAATATCATTTACCTATGACACTAGTTAAATTGTTCCATTGATATGACCTTTAGAGAGTGTGGAGTTTGAATTTGGCCTTTGTCTTTCATCTTTTTTATGAATCTGCATTAACTGTATTATCTGATTAACTATAACTGACTCTTTGGTCTATGACTAAATAATTTTTTTATTATGTCCACCATGGTGAGTGTCATGAAGAAAGGGGATATAAATCTAATAAATGATAAATGAATAATGAATAATAGCCACTATATCAGGTCATTAAACAATAAAATACACATTTATTCAAATACATAACCAGAATTCACATGTGCTAAGCCAACATTTACTTAGCACTAAACCAGTGTGAGCTACACCAACTACAAAGTTTGGGTTCACAGATTGATGCTAGTTTTCTGCCAACCACATTTTGGCTTTAGCACAAAAAGCAAGTTCTGCTTAATGTGTGTGAATTTAGCTATAATGGCTTAGTGTGAGATGTTAACTCAGTTTTAGAATAAAACTCCATTGGCCCACTTTGGCAGTCAAAAACAGCTTTGGAAAGAGATACTAACAAGGTTTTAAATAGAGCTTTGGAAAGAGATAAGTAACAGTGTTTTAAATAGAGGAGTCCTGAATGCTTTTAATTCAGTATGAATAGGATAGTGTCTGAAAGACTTAATTGAGGATGGTAGGAAATGTCTTAGGGTTACAGGGCTTCACTGTAGAAAAGGCCCATTTTCTGGCTATCAGGCCCACTAGGTAGGCCAGACCAGGAAATCAACTCTACAGGAAGACTAGAATTACATTTATTGAGACAGGCTATAATAACAAAATTTTGTATTGCATTGTACCTCCTCCCCCTTCTTACATTTCACTGAATCAGGGAGGCATCTGCCTGAGCTGCTTCCAAATATTATCTTTCAAGTATTTCCCAGGGCTTAAAAAATGTTTCAAATTACCCCTTTGCCTAGGTAATGGTTCTTGCATATTTTCATCAAAGTCATTTCCCTTACTCTCTACACCAATCACAAAACACAGCCATGTGAAGAAATCTAAAAATGCACTCATTTGCTGAGAATCTTTATATATTGTTAAATCATACCATTTAATTGCTATTATTTTTCTGTGTGGAAAGTATTATAATATTGTTTTTGTAACATGCAGGAAGCAGAACACTGCAAAAAAGTCACCTGCTGGGGGAGATGGGCAGCATACAAATTTAATAAATAAATAAATAAAAATAAATAAGTTTCCATTTCACAAGTGGAAGCTTACAGCTAAAAGAAAAATTCTTCCATACAGGCAAAAAGCCTATATGCTGCCCAGATTTTGATATACCTGGGTTAAAATATACTTGGGTGAATGACGTTACATAGCTGATGTGGATTATGACAACATTTAAACTATTCTGTTTATTCTTTCTCCAGATTGCTGGGACTTTGCATCAAAAATGGAAGAGATGCTGTCACTTGTGAAACAAATGCAAAATGGTATTTTGAAGTTCGGGCCAACAGTTAAAGTGGAATACCAGGCACTAGGCATCTTAGTAGGATCTTAGAATATGCACATGACAGCAACATGTGTGAGCTATCAATGAGCAAAGTGGGTAGCCCCCTAGAAAATCTATAATCTTTCACATTTGAGCTAGGGCTGATGGTTTATTAAAATCTGGAAGACAACACATTGCTTACTGTATAGAAAATAACTGGGAATCGAGATATTTGGTAATCTTTTCCCTCTTATTATGGAAAGTTTATTCTGACTAGAAGATAAAATTGGACAGAATCTAGGGGCTGAAATGTCTGAGATGTATTTGTAGGAAATGAGTTTCCTAATCTGTTAACTATAAGCAAATAAGGAAAAGTAGCTCCAATTGTGTAACCTGTAACCTGCCACATCTATCCATGTATGTTGCAACATTATGCCTGCACAGTAGGAATAGTTGATTTCATGTCTCCTGTAGGGCACAGCCAAATACCATAACACATAATCTAGGAGACCCACAAAATGTAATCAATATGTATATTGTGACTTTAATACTGCTTTAATGCCAGGAATGTGGCCAGATTCTGTGGCTTCTGGACAAATTCACTTGAGAGGGTTGTGTGTGTGTGTATGTGTATGTTTGATTTAAACTGAACTGCATGATGAGGGAAGGCTAGAAGCTTACTGGGTGCCAGAGGAAAAATATAACAGAAGAAGGGATGCTGATTTTAGGGAAAAGGTTTGGAGACCCAATTTTCATTAAAAATAATTCCAAACCAGGATAATATAAACTATAAACTTTATATCAATATTATTTGACAGAGAATTATTTTAAATTATCCTGTTTAGGTTCTGAAACTGTCAGTTACATTGGCACTGGAATGAATAAAATGAAGTGATACACAGGAAGGTGGTTATGGTGAATTTAAATATTTGTAAAGTTTTAAGGTACTAATATAATAGCATAGATCAACATGAAGAATGCAGATGAAACTTTCTCCTTCTTCCTTTCCTTGGTAGTGGGAAATCTAGAGCCGAGAATAGAAGATCTAATAAAAAGAATTAATAAATTGCAGCAAGGTAAGAGATTCAAATGGGACACAAAGTAAAGGGCTGGCTTCTATAGGCTGGCTGAAGTCACTGATTATATTAATATATTGTTTAATAGACTTATTTGAATGAACATAAATTGGGAAATAGAAATATTTTACCTCATTTGAAGAGATTATTTGATTTAAATATACCGTAACCTTTTGAGACTCTTGGTAGTTCACAACTTCTAACACAACAACAAAATTTCCTTGCTAAATACAAATTTAAAATAAAATTTAAATTAAATTAAAATTACATAACCCTGACAATATCACAATTCCCAAATCCTCTGGAATAACTCAGTCTTAACTAACTTCCTGAAGGCTATTATCAGTGCAGCTAATCTTGCCTCCAGGTGGAGGCCTGGGATTGTCAAGAGAAACATCTCCTGGCCTTGACCCCCTTGGAAACGGGGCAGTCCCAAAAGTTTTTTCTTGAGAGACACTTTGGATGGGTTAAATCTGGTTGGTGGAAGCAGTCTTAATGGTATCCAGGTGCCAAACGGTACAGGGCTTTATATGTTAAAAGCCATATTTTGAATTGCACCTAGAAATGTACTGGCAGCCAGTGCAATCAAGAAGAATTGAATTACACCTGGGCTAGTGTACTCAATGCAGTTTCTGAGTGGTTTCCAATGGCTACTCCATTGTAAATATTTTGGTTTCTTTACTATTAAAATTTGATCACCATAATAATTATGATCTCTTATAACACATCCAAAGGGCATCAGACTGGGGGATGGCTTTTCTTTGAGGTGGGCATAAGATTATAAATCCATGATACTTCCTCAGATGGGATAGAAACTAAACTAAATGAATATGTACTGTAATAAACTAGGTACAGATACTTCCAGATGGAGACTCCATATAACAATTGGGGAGGTGATGGTGATGAATAATGTTTTATGAAAATAGTACCCTTTCTTTGCATCTATTGAAAGAGAAAGGAGATCTGATTATATTTGTCTTCTCATTTCCTGCCTTCTTCTAGAGTTTAGTACATCTTCAGGAAAGCAGTGTTTCTTATAATGAGACTTGGTTGTGGGAATACACAATTATTCTTTTGGGAACTCTCCCATAAGTCTAACAAGTATGTGGTTTGTGTCTGGCTAGTGACCATCTGTATATACCCAGTTTATTTCAATAATGGGATTGTAGGTCTATTTCCATCACAAGTAATGCTAACTTTGTGCAATGATTTTGAATTAGTAGTGAAGTGAGTAACTTCTGTATTAAGGTACAATCAATAGAAGTCTTGAGGAAAGAACAAGCATATCTGGCCAATAAAAATTAACAGTATCAAGTTTTGCAATAGTACAAATTGATAATGATTGTTGTAATTGATTGAGTCAAATGGCACTTTTCTGAATCTCCTCTGGCAAAGATTGTTGAATGCTATATATATTATTGTTCTTGTGCTATCCTCAACCCCAGAATTCATTCCTTCCTTCCTTCCTTCCTTCCTTCCTTCCTTCCTTCCTTCCTTCCTTCCTTCCTCATTAGGAGAGGACATGGAATCTCTTTTCCTCTAGTTTGGAGTAATAATGAATACGGCAGAGGATGAGATGGTTAGATAGCATCACTGAAGCAATGAGCATGAAACTGAGCAAACTCAGGGAGGCCGTGAAGGACAGGAAGGCCTGGCGCAATATGGTTCATGGGTTCACGAAGAGTCAGACACGACTTAACGACTGAACAACAATACTGAATTAAATGATGTCAGGTTAAAGCTGTACTTTTAAATTGACGGGCAAAGGAAAGGAGAGAATTTTACAGGAGTGGAGTTCTTGTTTTTCTGTTTAATGCTCTACTATTTTCCCATTACTACATCTGTCTCTTTCTATCTGCAAACAGTGGATTGTTAAAAATAAAAAGCAGAATAGTTCTACAATATATTTAATTGTTATTATTAGGACTCCTCCATCTGGAAGCTCTAGGACAATCTTAGTAGAAATTTGTATTACTTATTTTATTAGAATAATATTATAATGGTTTAAATGTGGTTTTAACCATTATGCTATAATATTACTCAGATGCAAAATATCCTTGGGACGAGCTACCCACTCATCATTTACTCTCTCAATCTATTTGCTGTATGCATTTTTCTTCAGCTAAGAAGATATTAAATGAAGAGATCTCTGAGGCAAATGAACATAGTAAAACACTTCAGAGGGAGCTGGAAAAGTGTAGGTATCTGTTCTGACATAATTCAGATTGAAGCCATTTAATCAAATGCCACTAATCTCTTCCTCCACAACGAGTATTTAAAAAGCGTATGAACTTTAGAATGCAGTTCACTTTGAAGCATGCTTAGTTTTAAGTAGACATGTAGAGAATTCCATTATTACTCTGTTCACACAGTAATACTAAGCCAAGTTTTTAAACCATGGTACTGTATGCTGAATAAGTTAAAATGGCTGGTAAGTACATAACCTAAATCATAATGGCTGGATTCACATATAATCCAATTATATGTGAATCCTGCCATTATGATCCAAACAATAACGGGTAGGTATGTACATCACTAAGCAAGCAGTGACGTTATGCTATATTGTTATGTATGAAATACAGTGCTGTTAATCCGCAGGCACAGGCCAGTTAATTTAACTTTATTTTAAGAACAACCAATATATTACATGAGATGGGATATGGGAATGACCTTGGGAGACAGGAGGGAGAGCCGCAGACTAGACAACTGGCATACAAAAGATATAAAAGATCACTGCAATAAGGTTACCTAGAATAGTTTTTCTGTTCATGCTTCTAGACAGAGGGCACTTTAGCTGTAGCAGACATACTGTAGCTGGAGGCAGCGGGCAGATTTTTAAAATGCAAAGTTTTAGAAAAACAAGCACCAACTTCTGAGGTTTCTTCCATTTGTGCTTTCTGCAACATCATAAAAATAATACCTAAATGAAATAACTCCTTCTCTTGTAGTAAATGCTGAGAAATCAAGCCTTGAAGAAATATGGAATGAGAAAAAGGGTAATGGCAAATTCAGAAATTAAAAATTCAGATTTTTTAACACTATCAGTTTTAGCACTTGTCCACATTATATTCCTTGAAATTGCATATTTGTTGCAAGGACAATTCACTATCAATATGATTGCAATATGAAATGCAGTTTCAAGAGATACTTTATGTTTTGGCATTATTAGTAAAATTAATTTAATTGAATTAAGATTGATTAATTTAATTAAAATGTATCTTTCAATGCCCATACCATTTTGTATAGGTTTCTATTTTTCAATGTTAGGAAAAAAAAATCTATTTCTTTAAGTTTTGTGTTAATAGTTTCCCGCTGTTGCTGTTACAATATACATTTATATCCTATCCTTCAAAACATGTATTTCTAGGATGGCTTACAGAATTGCAATAGAAACTGAAAAAAAAAATCCAAGTAATTTGAGACAATGGCAGTACTAAAGCTCAGCATAGCCCTATTTTTTAAACAGCTACAAAAGGACAACATGGCTATCCTATGCAGTCAGTTGTAAGGGTGGATTTCTCCTCCCGGCTCCTCTTATTCTCATCTGTTACATGAAGATGATATATTTCATAGGCAATGGGTTAAGGCAAGCTGAGAATCCTGTAGCCACAGGCTACATGCAGCCCAAGTTTCCTTCTGTAGTGCTCAGAGCCATCTCTGACCATGAATGTTAAAAATAAAAAGGCAACATTTCCCCAACTTTTGAGAAGAGAAGCAGATGAAAACTCTAGTGTAAGCCCTAAAATAGCATACCGTAGTTTAAAACCACCACCCAGCTCCCCTCAAAGTCTTATCACATGCATATGTATAGTGTTCACACCCACAACATGGTCCTTAGCACCCCAAATGTTACATGCACTTTTGGCAATCAAAAAGTTAGCTTGGGTTAGAACTCATATCACATGACAAATAATAGCTAGAAAACAATGCTTAAAAATAGTGTGCAGTGCAGAGAGAAAATTGTCTCTACTTTCTCCACCTGATAACTTTAATAATTTTTGTACATGACAATATTGTCCACTTTATTTTTTATTTACTTCCTGAAGTTTCATAAGATGGAATTAAACTTTTTCATAGATAGTACATGCTGGGCCAACATTTTCTTCAACTGACAACCCCAACATCCTTTCCTGATGAGGCTTTTCTCTTTTGGCAACCTTCCGATTACCTGTGCTGGGTACAGAGGAGAAATAGAGCACTCCCTTTCCTGCAGTCCCTTGTTGCTTTATCTAATAAAAGTGTAGCATAATGTGATTGCACATGTTCTGTTCCCTGGAAACTGAAAGTAGTGGCATTACTTTAATGTTAAAGAACATGCATACAACCATGGTAGAAATATTATGCAGAAAAGAGAATAACTTGAATTGCTGAGCATTAATATTTACCTTTCTTGCAGAGATCAGAAAAGTCATGGAGTTGCACTCAAAGGAGGTAGAAGCTGAAATGCAGAGGTGAGCTAGGGCCCCTGATCCATCTGCATTGTGGACTTAGCCATTGAAAAGTACTGAGCAATGTTAGAGTTATCAAGACTACAGCAGGAAATATAGCAAACTACTCTAAGAAGATCTATATACTGTATCAAGACTGCTGTCAGTATGTATTTATGCATATGTTTTCAGTATAGATGACTTATATTGCAATACATGGTCCCAGCTCAAAGTGATTATCATCACAAAATTAAGAATTAGTCCATTCTATATCTTAGCTTCTTCTCATTTACCAGGGAGCAGAAATTGAACCTGGGCTGTAAGCAACAAATTGAAGAACTCACTGCCAAGATCCAGGTGGAAAAACTGAAGCAGAGGGACCAGAGGTTATTTCCTAAAATCTTGCAATTTTGCCATAAATGTTGGTGTGCTAGCATCTTCTGATTTCACTTAATTCATGTATTATCAAAAAAAGTTATTGCATTTACCTTTATCAAATCACATTTCAGACTACCTGCCTTCATTCCTTTAGCAAATCACTTTCTGCAAAAGATAAAGCTGCAGTGATTGAAATCATGAATAATAATGCAATTAAATAAATCTCTCACTTGGTCACAATATTCAGGTCACTCAGTAAAGTTGTTTGCTGGTAGGTTTAATATTAACAAACAAAAATATCATTTTACATAGCATATTTACTATATGGAATTCCTTACCACAAAAGGTAGTAATGGTCTTCTGAATTAAATAGCTATAAAATGGCTTAGATAGACAGAATAGTCTAACTGCATGCCTTAGCCATGATGGAAAACTGTATGCAGTCTCAATATTCTGAAATACTACACTTGTTACAAGGTGCAGAAGATGAATATGTGGGACTTACTATTCCATTATTTTTCTCCATTGATGACTTCCTTAGGAATCTGGATAGCTAATGTTAATACTGAATGTGGAACAAGATGACTCTATAGCAGTGTTTCAAGTATGTTCTGTGCAGCATGAACAGTATGTTCAAGTATGTTCTGTGCAGCAAGGTGTTACATGAACAAGTAGGCAGTATTTTTACAAACTCTTGCAGGAATGCTATGAGCATGTGTACCTTGTACATTCTCTCTAAAACCAAGCCATTCTCGCACATGTTGGACTGCACAAGTCTTTTTCACAGCGATTCAACATGTCACACTGACCAGCACTTTGGTGATTGAAGCAGGGAAATCCTGGTGCCCGGCCTTGACAAAGATTTTCCTAGCCCTATTGCACAGTGGCTGCAGCTTCATTAAGCTAAGCAAGAGCACAGCAGGCAGAGGTCACTGAAGAGTGCCAGCAGATCCAGAGTACGAGTAGACCCAATGCTAGTCAAAGTGACATGGCTGATGCTTTCATTTGCAGCTTCTTGGCTTACTGCACAACTAATAGGCATGCTCACCCCAAACACACAGTCCAAAGCAATGCCCTTTACGACCAGCACCTGGTTCACCTTTTCCAACATGTATAGGCAAAGTGGCTCACAGTTGAGGCCCAGGCCCTGCATTTGAGGCAGTGCCTCTCCTTGGCCAGCTCTTCAAGAAAGCCCAGGTTGTTGATCTGCTAGTTCCTGTTGCAGTTGATATTCCCTGGAAGTATAAGTGCAGCAAGAAGCTGGAGTTGTCTGCAATGCAATAGTTTAATTCTGTCCTATTCCTGCCCTACATTTATTTTTTCTACCTTCAGATTGGCATTTGAGCAGTTACTTGATGAGTTGATGGAGAAGCACAAGAATCTCTGGGAACTTTATGTAAGGACCTGTTTTTTTCCCCTTGTAGCATAAATTATATTCTATACTACTCATTAATATTGCAATAAATGTAGGCAGCAAAACTGTGAGTTAGAGATCTTGAATTCTGATTCTATTACCTCTGGGAACAGTGACATCAAATTAGCTAAAAACATTTGGCCCTGTCTGCAAAGAAAGGATCTGTGGGTGTATAAGGAACAGGGAGGTGAATATTATTTGCTTACAGACTGACTGCTGACTTCTGGATTCTTGGGTGCTCTAATGAGCCAAACCTGTGCTTTATCTTCCTATTTTAACTCCTAGGAGCACAGCCAGTTGGTACCATGTAAATGAGATAAAATGAAATGTCAGGCTGAAAAGGGCTGGGCAACTGCCACATTGGAAACAAAAATAATAAGGCCAGTGACATATGGAGAGAACTTTTCCCCACAATAATTGTTATGCCCAGGGCATCATTAGCAAGACTGCCTGTTATACACCAAGAAAAATGTTATGTAGTTCTTATTGGTTTGCCAAGAATGGCAAGAATATGCATACAAGAGATGCAAATAACTGTACATACAATTTATCTGTAGACTTAAGCTATCCCATAGATGCCAGGGCACATGTCACCAATAGCTCCTGTGCCAATATATGATCACTGTCAGTCAGATGAAGGTGTGTGGGTGTTGCTGAATGCTGTACATGCGTGTACTCTGTCTGTATCTATAGGGTGGGGCTAGTTCAAACATTCTTGATCATCTTTTCATCATTTGGTACACAATGGAATTGTCCTCTCAAGTAGTATGGGCAACCCATGGCTGATACATGGCTTTCAGTCCTATTTGTGCTCCCTCCATCCCACCATGATTGCATTACCAGTAGCTGAATTAGCACAATTTCTGCTCATTTTTAGTAGGAAAGGAGTAAGTACATAAGCCTGTAATAGGCTTAATCACTGATAAAATGTTTTTTAAAAACCAAGAGAGAAAGCAAAAGCCCCAAATGCAATCTTTTTCTCCAGTGATATTTTTGTTACCCATTCCTGCCTCATCAGTGGATGAAATATTTATAATAGTATGGACCTGGTCACAAAAAATTGCCAATCTCTGTTTGAATCCAGCTAAATGTGATTCTGCACTCTTTAGTTAACACTTAGATGGGAATTTTAATACTAAAATTCATATAATTAATGTAAAAAGCATTATTGTTATTTGCATTACTGTACCTTTTACTATAATATTTTCCTGATTAATATATCCTACCTTTTATACTCCTTCTTCATACTGATATTTGCTTGATGGGTAAAACTAGAGGCTATTTATATCATATATATTTAAGTCTTTCCCCTGTGAGACAAATATAATTTCTCTGTTTGATTTTAATTGGGGAAATAGCATGAGCAGAAAGGTTGGCTTCCTCCCAATGCTACAGCACCTGTCTACAGTATAAAGTTCTTGTTTTTGCTGACCTCATTATAGACATTTAAACAATTTATTGGAGTTGGGAGATTCTTTTTACTGATTTCCTTCCACATATCTACAACATTTTTTTTGTTGCTGTTCTTGTTTCTCTTCATCATATCCTGTTCCACTTTTCAGGCCAGGGAGAAACCAGTGGCTGACATGAGAGACAGTAAGGAGCAGTTGCTAAATGAAGGTGAGAGAGAGAATGTACCATTCTGGGCATCTAGGAAAGGAAGGAATCCAAAATCATTCCAAAGGATGATTTTTTAACACAGTCATTGTGCAGTTATTACTAAGCTGTTGTGTGAAACCCAAGCACACCTTCCTTCAAGGTTGTACTAGTGCTAAAGGATTTTGAATATTCACCATATTTAATTTTCTTGTGGCTGAAAAACATTTAATTCCCATTCCATTCCTTTAGACTCCATGACCATTACATTTGTAGAATGCTGATGTTACTGGCCTCTATTGGAAGTGCCTGTTAAATATTGTGACAAGTAACAAAGTTGAATTTTTTAATCTACATTTGTTTGTATCCTTAATGTTAAATTCATCCATTCATAGATTGAGAATTCCTTAAATTAATTCCTTAATTTGCATTGAGTTTTGTGTTATAAGCATTTTAAATTCAGTCAAATCTCTAAATATGTTACCTTATTTTTTTTTTAGCACCTTTTGAACTATACTGCTTATTTGAAGATATTGAAACCAATGAGTTGATTCTGGCCCTTCCAAAGAGAAAGTCTTGAAAAGTTTTATATTTGTTTTATTATTAAAGATTAAATCAAAACATCTGAGGGCTTAGGATTTAAATAAACGTTTTACTGAAATATGATTCAGAAACGAAACAAGTCAAAGACTGCATGATTAAATAGATGCAGAATTTAAACAGGACAATTGATGTGTAGCAATGGGAATATCAGTGGAAGTTAAATTCTAAGCTTACTATGAATATTATACTCAGAGAAAATTAGTATAAGATCTTTTTTCATTGGTATATTACTCCAGTGTTAATTGCCAAAATTGATAACACATATTAAAAAAAAAAGTGCTGGAAAGATGCAGAAAAGTACAGAGATGTCCCTGAAGGAGGAATTGAACAGCCATTAGGTAAACACCAGCTTCTTGACGGAAATTACATTCAATCTCTTCATCAGAAGAGTAGCTTTGGGAGTAAGCATTGGTAACTTTATATTGAAAAAAATAAGCCTGATACTAACTTTAACTTAATTTGGAAATTATTTATAGACTATAATTATGCACTTAGTCATTGCCACATCCAAAGCATGAGTTCCTTTTCACAACACTAGATTCTGTCTGGCCATAAAATTAAGCATGATTTCACTGACAACCTCATCCTGATGCCTGAGAAAAGTTAGGTCTTTCCAGAAGACTAATATGGGTGTAGCCTTTCAGACCTCAGGAAATGTGCTGTGCCAGGTGCCATGATAGAGAAAGTATGCTTTCTGGGTCCTACTATATGGCACTGTTTTCTAGACCCAGAGCACGTCCACCTTGATGGAATTCTTGGAATAGCCAGACATATTTGGGGACAGATGTTCCCACAAATAATCTATCCATGCACCATGTAGGGTGTTATGGGTAACTACCAGCACCTTAAATTGCAGCCAGATGCCTTCTGAGAGCAAATGCAACTTGTGAAGCAGTGGTATAACATAGGCATACTGGGGTGTGCCCAAAACTACCCACACTGTTGTATTCTGGACCAGGTGTAGCTTCCAAATCCTCTTCAGTGGTAGCCCTGTATAGAATACATTGCAATGAACCAATTGGGAAATGTCATCATGTGCTCAGAAGACCTGTGCCTGAAAATGTGATCTGATTATAAACGTACATATACACACAAAATTGAATGGTTTTGCACTATAGTCAATAAAGTAGTCATCTGAGACTGCTGTATAAACAAATGAGGCTGGTCTGGAGATGACTTTTTTTTGCACAGACAGTTCTATTTTCTTATTTTTAAACTCATATGAGGGCTTGACACCATAATTTCTGATTTATACTGCATAGTGGATCATTCTCTCTAATACTGAACTAGTGAAATATAGAGGAACATTTTAAATATAATACCCTCTCCCTGGAAAGCTATGCTTGGGGCAGTGTCTCATTATAAAGGAATTGAAGTTTTGTCCAATGCCTGAGTTCTCTACCAGCATTAATATAGCACTGCCAAGAAGTTAATATCTTTTTTTATTTTTAAAATATTTTTTATTAAAAGTTTTAACTACAGTAATAAAAGATAATA